CTGGAATTAAAACCAGGCAGTCTGAGCGTGGAACCCCATGCTTGTTAAACAGTACACTATGCATACGGCCTTTTAACACCTACTCAAAAGAAATAAAATATTAGTTTTTATTTTAGAGTTTTATTCATATGTTTACATAGGTTTTCAGAAACATAGAAGAGTTAAGTCTTGAATTAAAGGAGAGTGATTACTAGCTATCAAAAGCTACTGAAGTCAGTGTACTTTCAGAGCTAGAAAAAAAATACATCACCTTTGCATGGTGTTTGACATTTATCCATGCAATTGAATTCAACTCAATTAGCAATGATTTAGAGTCCCATGCTGAGTACTAAAGAAGTAAGATTCAAAGCCTAGAGAAGAAATGATTTTTATTCCCACCTAAAGCAGATATAATGCCCTGGAAGCTTACTGTTGAATAGAGATGAAGAAAGTGAAGCTCAGAGAGTTCAAATTACCTGCCTGAGGCCAAAAAACATAGTTTGTGGCACAGTGTGACCTGAAATCCAGTTCAGATGGGTACAGTTCTCTTTGTACTCTACCATTCTGCTTCCAATCAAGCTGGTTGAACACACTGAAATGAAATTATCTTCCAAAATAACTATCTCTGCCTTATAAGGAGAGAAATGTTTGGTATCTGCCTGCTCCATCTCTAGAACCCACCTCATTCCAGAATGAAAGGAAGGACAGAGAGAACTAATAGCCAAGGGAGTAACTGTTAGGGAAAGGGAGAGGAGGAGAGAATTCACACGCAGAGTCTCCCAGCTCTTCTCGAAAGGCATGTGCATTTTTCACATTTTTTTCAGTTTTATGTATTGGACAACTTATCTCTTTCAAATCTTACCCGATTCTAAAAGCAGACTTTGACATTATGCCTATATTGATAATTATACATGTAGTTAAATGTGTATGTCTTCAACTTAAAATAATATTGTGACACCTGTAAGTGAAAAATAAAATTTAAATTAAAAAAGAATAGAGGACCCCTTATACTTCTCTGTGTGCCCAGCTTTTGCAAAACGCTTTTACATAGTATGTGTGCAGTGTGGTAATGATGTTAAAAGTATAAGTATATACAATATTAGGCTTCCAGTTAAATTTATCCCCTTCCACACCAGAAAAAAAAAACGGCCCTGTATTTAGGTCTTCTATTAGTTTGTGTTATTGGGGCAGTTTATGCCCCTATTACCCCTAAACTGCCAGGAGACATTTGGCAATGTCTGGAGACATTTTTGGTTGGCGTAACTTGAGGGGGGGCATTGATGCTATGGGCATCTAGTAGGTAAAGGCCAGGACACTGCTAAACATCTTACAATGCAAGGAATAGACCTTATAATAAAGAGTTATCCAGCCCCAAATGTCAGTAGGCCAAGGTTGGGAGACAGCTGTCTGTTTTATAAGTAAAAACAAATGGACAGCAACCTTTCCACTTCTCCATTTTTTTCAACATAAGTAAGGCATAAATCAAAATAGCACACAAAAAAATTGCACCAAGAATGACAATTTCAGCAATCTATTGTTAAGAGAAACAATACTTAATGGGACAACTTACAGGATTAGAAGTGTTCATTAAAAGCTGGAAAAATATAAATTTAAACACATATGTACTTAAGTAAATAATAGAAAGCTTTCATGAAAGGGACTGTTTTGACCTTTACTTTGAAACTCAGAATACTCCAAACTTCTAATGTGAAACATTCTGCTAATGAGGCATTTTAAAACCACCACTGTTTTCCTAATTCAGACATGGAACTCTCACTTCAGACTGTTTAATTATCTCTAACGTTACTCCAAATTCACCTTTTGCACCAGCACACAATGACAAAAATGTATGGTTTTTGGCAATAAGGTCATCAAAAAATTGCTTTCACTCTTAGCCTTTCCTTTTTATGTTCTTCAACATCTTTCCCATGTTAGGTTTACCTGGAAGGTCCAATATTTAAGCCTGGATTCCTTATTATGTCCATAGAAACCATTCCTTCAGTTTTATATTCCTCTCTTTGACTTCTGTCATGGGAAGAAACTGTAGTAAAGCTATATGAACAGCCTGATAATGTCTTTAAAATTAACAAGGAATTAAAAAAATTAAAGAGAAAGAAATGCATCCAAACTCATCCTATAAAGCCAACATTACCTCAAAACCAAGACCAAATACAAGACAAAAATAATTAAATAGATACATAAAGCCACAGGCAAATATCCTTGATGAACATAGACATAAAAATCCTGATAAAATATTAGCAAACCAGATTCAACAATACATTAAAATGATTATACACCATGACCAAGTGCAAATCATCTCTGAAATGCAAGGATGGTTCAACATCTGTAAATCAATTGGTGTGATACAGCATATTAACAAAATAAAGAATAAAAACCATACAAGCATTTCAATAGAGAGATAAAAAGCATTTGATAAAATTCAACATACTTTTATAATAAAAAATCTCAAAATACTGGGTTTAGAAAAAATATATATCAGTACAATAAAGGCTATATATGACAAATCCACAGCAAATATCACACTTGATGAAGAAAAAGTGAAGTGTTTCCTAAAAGATGAAGAATAAGGCAAAGATGCCCACTATCACCACTTCTACTTAACACAGTATTAGAAGTGCTAGTCACAGCAATCAGACAAGAAAATGAAATAAAGAAGTCTAAATCAGAAAGGAATAAGTAAAACTCATTATTTGCAGATGATATAGTATATGAGTATATGGAAAACCCCAAAGACTCTACCATAAAACTATTAGAACTAATAAATGAATTCAGTAAATTTGGAGGATTCAGAATCAATATACAGAAATTTGTTGCATTTCTATACACCAATAACAAATAATCAGGAGAAATTAAGAAAACTGTAATATTTACAATTGTAATAAGCAAATATCTAGGAGGAGATAAAAGATCTGTATGCTGAAAATTATAAGGTATTGAGTAAGATACACATAAATAGAAGGATATATCTTGCTCATGGATTGGAAGGATACTGTCATAAAAATATTCTCACTACCTAAACTAATATACATATTCAATGCAATTCCTATCAAAATACCAATGGCATTTTTTTTCAAAATTAGAATGACCAGTTTTAAAATTTATATAAAACCTCAAAAGATCTAAAATAGCCAAAGAAATCCTGAGAAAGAACAAAGCAGGAGGTAGCATACTCCCTGATTTCAAACTATACTACAAAGCTATAATAATTAAAATAGCATTAGTACTGGCATAAAAACAAATATGTAGATAGATCAACAGATAGAATAAAGAGCCCAGAAAGAAATCTTCACTAATATAGCCAATTAATCTGTAACAAAGGAGACAAGGACATATATACTATGGGATAAAGACAGTCACTTCAACATAAGTGAAGTGGTACCGGGAAAACTGGACCCCTTTCTTACACCATGTATAAAAATAAACTCAAGAAAAAGTAAAGAATTAAAAGTAAGACCAAAACCCCTAAAACTCCTAGAAGAAAACAGACAGTAAACTCTTCGATAAAGTTCTTAGAAATGTACTTTTGGACATGTCTGCTTGGCCAAGGGCACAAAAGAAAAATAAACAAATGGGACTACATAAAACTAAAAAGTTTTATGTCAATTGCTATGTCAATAGCAATATGACTTCAACTAGTCTATCTAACCATGGAACATCATCCAGCAAGAAATCTCTGGTATAAAACTTTGCAAACCACTTTTGACATATTCGATCATCACAGCACCTTCTCAATACACCGCACAAAATTTTTTGCACTTCAACTGCATTTTTACCTTTCTTGAAATAATAAGCATAATATGCTGAAAATGTTGTTTATTTTCTTCCATCTTCAATATTAAAATCACCAAGTAAAAATTCAGCAATATAATCTAACAAAATTATTTTAAATGAAGTTAGACAACTAAATGCTATTGGAGCTGTCTTGTGGAAAAAACAAAGTTTTTTGCTAACCCAATACAAGAACTAATATAACTTAACATCCCCTAAAACAAAAAATCCAATTTAAAAAATGGGCAAAGAACTTGAATGGACACTTCCCCAACAGGACATACAGATGGTCCATAGACATATGAAAATATGCTCAACACCACTAGTCATCAGGGAAAGGCAAATTAAAACCATAGTGAGATATCACCTCACACCTGTCAGAATGACTATCATCAATAAGTCAACATATAACAAGTGCTGATGATAATGCAGAGAAAAGGGAACCCTCATGTATTGTTAGCTGGTATTTAACCAAAAAAACCAAAATGCTACTTCATAAGACATGTGCACCCCTATGTTCATTGTAGCACTATGAACATAGTGTTACGGTAGCCAAGTATTATAGTAGCCAAGGTATGAAAGCAATCTAGACACACACACACATACACCACACAATGGAATATTATGTAGCCACAAAAAAGAATGAACTCTTGTTATTTACAACAACAAACATGGATTGACCTAGAGTATCTTATGCTAAGTGAAATAAGTCAGACAGAGAAAGGCAAATACCATATTATTTCACTGATCTGTGGAATCTAAAAACAAAACAAAAGAGAATAGAACCATAAATATAGAAGAAAAGCTGATAGTCATAAAAAAAGGAGGATAGAGAGATGAGAATAAAAAAGAACACAATTAAAAAAAACAGATGAACAAGGAAAAGCAAGTAGAGGGAGCTGCTGATTTTCTCTTTGTATTTTGTCATAGTTTCCTTACATAATCTCTAGCTGATGTAGTTGCAGTTGCTAAGTTTTATTTGCTTGTTCATTTTCCCCTGTGGCTGATCATACTGGATACTTTGGTTGTCTGGCAGACACTTAAATAAAAACTGCTTTCTTTGAGGGGACAAATTAGTTCTTTTCGGGAATCAACTGACAAAAAGCATATAAACCTCAGGAGATTCCTTGAACATACCACAGTAAGTAACCTGTTGATTATTTTGTGTGTTGAGTAAAACATGTCACTACTGAGACCCTCACACGTTGGTTAACAACTTTCTAAATATTTACCAAGATCTTTAATAAGTGAAAGTGCTTCCCATGATATAAAGGCTCCGCCACCATCATCCATGGCACCCTGCCCAACATCCCAGCTGTCCAGATGTCCACTGACCAGTACAACCTAGAAAAAATAAGAAAAAGAGACAAAAATAAGACTAAGCAGAAATGACATCATTAAAGAGGAAGATTTATAAGCATTCAAGTGCAGAAATGAAACTATTATATTTTTTCTATTCTATGCCTTAAAAGATCTGTGTCATTACTAGTGGAGAACTTAGTATAGAGGTCTTACACAAAAGGATGTAAGGTCACCCTAATAGTAATGCAAGTTCTCACCTTATACTTCTCTTTATCAATATAATTTTGAATACTAAGAAAAATGGCTTATTACTGACAGATGTTTGACAATTTTATTATATGACATAAAAATGAAGCTCAGAACTTCAACCCTATTCTCAACTGTCCAAAATTCTAGCAGTCACATGATAAACATGTGTTAAATTAAATTCAAATGAAAAAATAAAAAAAAAAGTTTATTTTAAAAAATTATTGCATTTTGTGCATTTTAAATCACTCTGGTGTTGAATAAATAAATTGCTGAAGTGACAAACTAAATTCCAGTTAGCAGAAAAACTTTTAAGAAAGATTTCAATTTACATTAATGTAAAATAATTTATAGACTATAGTATGAGATTTAAATCATTGTAGGTTTAAATTTTTTGAGAATCATTAGTAATTCTCTCCAGGAAAAAAATTCAATGAAACTACATTTTATGAATACATTTTAAAGAAGCTTAAAACTAAATAAAATGATGCTAGGTTAGTATATCCACATGAGAAAAAGTATCTTTGTCACTGGGCTAGTATCCAAAATAACCTAATGTTTCTCAGTACCTACACTATGTTATGAGCTATGCTTGTTTAGAAGAACTGAAAATGATTCCCAACCGCAAAATGGGGAGGGCCGAGCACAAAGATCGCGGTGCCCAGTACAAAGAACAAGATGGCAGTGGGGCATCGTGTGCAAAAAGGGCCAACTGCAACAGAAGAATAAGCATGCATTCCTGAAAGAATTTAATCACTCCATGCCACATTCTATAAATACAGAGGCTCATTGCCAGCTGGGGAGAAGGCGCTGTCAGAGTGTGATCTCACCTTCTCTATTGCTTGATCAAAGAATAAAGTCTCTGCCCTGCTTTACCAAACTTAGTCATGTTCTGTTGGCATTAATGGCACTGGGCAGAAGGACCTTGGTTTGAGTCCCCAGCCTGGAAGAGTTGGTAACATCTTGATCTCTGTGTCATACCACATACAAATATTAAGTCAGATGAATTACAAACCTAAACAAAAGTGTTAGAGGAAAGCGTAGAACTACTTTGTCAACTTGGAGTAGAAAAAGATTTCTTAAATTTCATTCATAAAGTAAAAATCATAAAAGAAAAAATAGTGAATTGGACTTTTTAAATATTAGGTATACTTGTTTATCCAAAGACCCCACTGAAGAGTGAAAAGGCAGCCTACAGAAAAGGAGAAAATATTTCCAATACACATATGAAACAAAGGACATATCTCTGGTATGTAAAATTCCTAATAAACAGCAACAAAAAGAAAGCCAACGGATAGAAAAATGAATGAAATAAACAGTTCACAAAGATAAATTTAAAAATTATGAATAATCATATGAAAGGTGCTCATGTTCATTATCATCAAAGAAATTTAAATTAAACCACATCCAGTGCACATCAACTGAGATGGCTAAAAAGAAAAACACAAGAAGTGCCAAATACTGGGAGGAGGTGGAGCAACCAGAACTCTCACACGTTGCTGGTGGGTGTGTGCAGACACAGCCACTCTGAGAAGCTGGCTTATCTACTAACTCTGGACATACGCACACCCTAAGACCCAGAAACTCCACTCCTGTGTATAGATCCAACAGAAATGTTGTGTGTGTATATAATTTCACCAAAAGAGATGGCCTCGAATATTCATAATCACCTCCATGTCCTTCTCAAGAAGGAAACTGGGGACAGCAGAATGAATGAATGGTGTTGTATGGATCAATGCAACACTGCACAGCAGGAGGAACGAACACGCACAATGCATGGTAAATGTACACGAGGCTCATAAATGCAGTGCAGAACGAAAGAAGCCAGACAAAATAATATACCATGTATAATTCCATTTGTATGAAATATAAAAATAAGCAAAATCAGAGCAGTCCCCCAGGCAAGGAGGGTTGGTGACAGGAAGGGGTACAAGCAGTTTCTGAGATGCTGGGCATGTTATGCTTCCTGATCTGTGGACCAGTTACACGGATGTGCTCAGTTTGTAAAAGTTTGTCTTGTTATACACTTAGGATTTGTGTACTTTTCTCTTAGAATATTACACTTCCATAAAAATATTTTTAAAAAACCAAGTTCATCAGAATTGATGTCTATGTTCAGGATGTAGTAAGTCAATCAAAGCTAAACAAATCTTCCTGGGGATTAACAAAACATCCATGACTTCAGGAAGGCAGGCTTTTGGGGTGAAACACGGGGTGGCCCCCTGCACTGCTTGCCTCCCCAAGCAGCTGCATGGTCTCCCATTGACTCTGCACATACAGCCAGACGCAGCCTATGACTTCACTGTAGTCACAAACAAGCACAGGATCCGGACCAACAAATGACCACATAATGAACCCAAATGGATTGTTTCTAAGGAAAAGAAAAAAAGGGAAAAAATATTGCAATAGCCGGAAACTCTGATTCAGAAAGTGGTGTAATCTCATGTGGAATGAACATTAGTCAATGTTCCCACCACCCTCAGAACCATTTTCCCAGTGAAATTAAAGTTCCAGTGGAGAGAAAGTGTCAAACTATGTCTTAATAAACTTTCTCCAATAACAATAAGAGTAATTAAATCAAGGCAGCTATTATTTTATCTTTCAGATTTCTTTCAGAATAACTGAGGTTGTTTTAAAATCATACATCTTCATGTTTTAGGTAATGCTTCCATTCTCCAATCCAGAATTATTATTTCAAATAATAGTCAAAAGATGAGAAGTGGTTTTGAATAGTAGGAAGTTAAACGGTATCCCACAATACAAGGTCTTTGGCACAGTGCTATGGAAGAATGATCATGAACCATTTGGATTCTAAGAGCTTGTTTTAAAATATTTTTAAATCAGAAGAATACCATGAGACAGTAATTGCAATTTTAATATTGATTGATTGAAAAACTAAGTAATGACAACAAGCTATTTCAAATCCAGTAGAATTTTTAATGAACTTGAATTTTCCTAACCATAACAGTAGCTTCAACATCCACTTAGAAATAGAAGTGCATGAGGTCTCCTTCCACGTGGTGTCTATCTAGCATGCTTTAATGCAGCCCCACAAAAGATAACCCAGCAAAACATACAAACTCACCAAACCTCATGTCCGGGTCAGGCAGAAATGAATATTAATTATAATATACTTGCATCTGATTTAAGCAATCAAAAAACAAAAGGCTATCCAGGGATACTGTAAACCCCAGTTCATGAAAAAGAACCACCTGATAAAAGACAGGCCAACGCACAGTCCCTTCACTGCCTCTCTCTCCAGATGCAGATAGAGGACCTCTGCAGCAATGACATGGCCTAGGACCAATAGAGAAGTGGGGCATCTACCCTTCTACCTGCCTCATGTGCTGTAGGAGGCAGGCAGAACAGTGAGCAATCCCCCACCCTCCAACTTCCTCTTCACCACTGTCTCTTCTGTATACAGTAGAGAATTAACAATGATTAAGACAACAGCAATAGCAGCCACAACAAAACAACAGCTAGCAAGGCAGACTGGGAACCATGCTGCTTCAAAGTGTTGACTTTGTAATTTGTGAGGCACCTAGTAGCCCTGACTATCAAAGACTCAGCCTTGGGCAAAGGGGGAAGAACCCGGAGCAGCAGGCCAGAAATGCATGGGATAGAGGCTGCTAGGGTGAAGGGTTAGCTCACTGGCGACGCAAAATCACCTGCAGGCCAGCTGTGGGTGCAAGAGGAGGCAGACTGAATCAAGGGTAGAGAGGGAGCAGGCCAAGGACAAGCCCCTCAGTTCTTTGTTATTGGAGCTTACAGTGTCACTGAGTCCACATAGATTTGTCTCATTAAAACACAGATTAGCACATAATCATTTGGGGACATACAAGAAGTATGGCAGAGTGAGGAGGGGGGAAGAGCCCCATAGGACAGATGTTCTTATGACAATAAGCTAATGGTTGTTAGAGAAAATTTCCTGATCTTTGGCATTCATCAATACATTTAGTCAATGATTTTTATTGCATTTTTACCATGTTCTAGAGATATAGAAATGAACAAAACAAGCAAACATTTTGCCTCAATGGAATGTATATTCTGATGATGGAGATGGACAATAAATAAATACAATATAGGGATAGTTTTAAGTGCTATTTAAAAATGTTAGGAAGAGAATAGAGATTGGTGGTGGCAGAGAAAGGGAAAAATCAGTCTGTTTCCTCTTAAAATGTAGATAGCCACCAAAGATGTCTGTCTCCATTCTAACCGTGAGAGAAACCTGACGATGGATAAAATCAGGACTTTCATTAGACCTACTAGGGAGCTGAGATTGCAATTACACTGGAGGAAATGAATCCCAGAAGGTAGCAAGTCCATCCAAGGAGAGATGGGGCTCATCCAAGGGGAGATGGAGTTTGCCTTTAGTAGTGCCCAGGTGTTGCAGGTAGGGAGAGGGGAGAGGTGACAGTCATAAAAGCAGGAAGGAAGAAGACAGTTACAACTTTAACAAATTCTTAAAGGGTGAATGTGGGTTCGCATGAAAGTTTAGAAACCCTGGGAACTTCCCACAGGACACTAGGTACCTGTTTCCCAGATCTACTCTACAGGTCTGGCCAGGTACTCACAAGAAACATCGGGAGCAGGGCAGAAGCTGTGGTGGAACTCGCCTCAGTGAGGCAGATGGTGATGGATGCTGGTGGGAGGCAGGCAGCAAACATACCTGCTGAGGACCCTTCTCTCTGAAGGGGAGAAAGAAAGCCGTCCTGCAAGGCAGCCCCAGGCACAGGGGAAGAGGTAGAAAATTGCACCTCGACCCTGCACTGACTAGGAAAAACACGTGTGCCCCT